ATTTTGAAGAATGAAGAATTTGCAATCAAATGATTTGCTTAAACAGCCCTTTTCCCCTCACTCTCCAACTAGCGAGCTCATCATAAGGGCATTAATCAGGTTTGTATTCTCAGAATCTAGTAGACTGCCCAGCAACATTGCAGGCACTCAAAATATTTCTTGAATACAAATACGAGAGAGACTGCATAGTGACATATTAAGCATAGTTTATGAATCATTCCATAAACCAATCTTCTCCAGAATTACTTGTCAAGTGAGAAAAACTGCATGGAATGCCTGCAAAATTATCGAGAATTTAGTGATGACGTCAGTAAGGAAGACACTGTCTCCCAGGTCCCTACCACGCGCTGCTTGGGGTGCTCCGCCCCACTCCCCATCCCCCACCAGACACGCGGGGCAGCTCACTCTTCTACGCGCTCCCCTCCTCCCAACCACATTGCCTCACCTTGACTTTGCACTTGCTGTTCCCTCTGCCTGGAAAGTCTTTTCATCTGCTAGCCAAATGTTTCCCTCCTCCTCTTCCTTCAGGTATTGGCTCAATTGTCACCTGCTCAGTGAGGATTTCCTGACTACTCTATTTAAAAATCTAACTTCCTTCATGGCTTTGTTTTTCTCCTCAGCTCTTACCATACTTACCATAATCTTATATACTAAACATTGTATTTATTTTATTTTCTGACTTGCCTTACTAGAATTCAAGCTCCGCGAGGGCAAGAATTTGTCTTTTGTGCCCTCTGAGCTCCTAGCACTTATAACAGCTCCCAGCACACTAGGCATTTGACAGCTGCTTGTTAAAGGAATAAGTGAGCGAGTCTGGAATACTGTATATATGTAACTGAGGTTTAGAGTAGAGACCCCAGGACCAGACTGCCTGTTTGCTTCTTGTCTCCAGCAATTATTAATTGGGTAACTTTGGGCAAGTTACTTAAGATTTCAAAACTTCAAGTTCCTCAGTTGTAGAATGGGGATTATCATAGTATCTATACCTCATGAACCATGAGAATTAAGTGAAATGACACGTTTAGAAAGGTTAGAACAGTGCTTGGCACATTTTTATGGAAAGATTTTATGATTTTTATGGAATGAAACTTTGAGATGTATTCTTTAAAAAGTGTTTTAATTACATACAAATACAGAAACATCTATGAGCAACACATTAAAGTTGGCTTTTAGAATAAGTATTAAGTGATAAATTCTGGTTTTTAATAATGAATTTATGCGAGCATGTGAATAAATTTCTCAGAATTTTGCTTGCTATCTCTGTCAAACTCTTGCCTAGAAAAGGCTAAAAACGATATAAAATAAATTGAAAAGATTTTAAATTCCTTTTAACACTAAACAAACAAAAAATCAGTTTACAAAACAACTAAGAAGGAAACAGCAAGAAGAGAAACCTACAGGATAGGCAAGTCATTACAAGTTTGGGATGTACTGCTGGTTTGAGAGGAATTTATTTTATTAACCCACAATAAACTGCATTAAACAAAGGTGTACCCTTCTGAAATGTTATTTCTCTTTTTCCTGGAAGAAAAAGACCATCACTTTCACAAGGCCTTTCTTTAGGCTCCCGACCAGCCCCTGAAAGTTCTTTTCTCCAAAGTCTTAAAGCACTTAGGGGCCTTTTTCCTACCTTCTCCACACCCTCTACATCTCTTTGTGCTGCTCTGTGGTTGCATAAACGCATTTGCTCTCCCAGGGTCGCTTAGAGGATCCACAGAGCAGGGAGTGTATTCTGTACTGTTTCAGTAATCTTGCCTGGCTCAGGCTGGTCACTGGACGGGCAATTACATGTCTGTCTGAAGGAACACACGCATTTATAACATGAAACCTTGTAAAAACTGGTATCACTTCTGAAAACAGGTGGCAGGCAGGTCTCCAAAGATGCCTGACTTGATCATGAAGTATTTACTAAGCAGTCATTTATTCAGCAGCATTAATTTGCAATAATCCAGTAAAATCATTTACATAATGATAAACTGATTTAGAACTTTAAGCCAATGGCCCAAAAAGATAAATGCCACAGTTCCTAAACCACTCAGCTTAGCATAAGAATTTCAACTTTTCAAAACTCATGATCATACTAACAGTGTTTCTTTAGACTAATAATGTGAAAGTTAAGAGCACGGACTCCACAGCCCTACTGCCTTGTGTGAATCCCACCTCTGCCGCTTCCTTGCTACATAACCTTGAAAAATTATTTAACTTCTCTGTGATGGTTTCCCCATCCATAAAATGGGGAGAAGCCTCACAAAACCATGGTGAGGATTAAGTGAGTTTATAGGTGCAATGATTAAGACAGAGCCTGGAACTCGGTAAGTATTTAATAAGTGTGAGCTGCTGTCCTTGGCACTGTAATTATCATTAGAAATACTTTCTCAATATCTCATCTTACTTGATAAAATACCCCAAAGAAGCAAAGATACTTTGGATTTGGTTTGTTATAATCACATAATCTGGTTTCATACAAATTTCCAGGTTTTGACAAATGGAAGAGCTATACTGTGTTTCATTACAATTCTTTCTTATATTCATTTTAAAGCTTCAAGAAAATGGCTAAACTCCAGCTCTGGTTTTCTACTTAGTTCTCTGAAAGGATTTATTGAAAACCCCAGGTCGGCTGGAACATT